GCCTGAGGAGTTGGACCGTAGTTTCTTAATAATTTCTAAATTTATCAACGGAGAATTTCAGAAAGGTATGTTACACATCATGTTTAGTACAGAAGCACTTACCACAGAGATGGTGATACCCTCGGGTATTAACAGTTCACCAGCAGTGGTATAGATCCAGTGCTAGAAAAAAATTTGAACAGAATACTACAAGGGCCATTTTGGTCTATATTTTTTACTGAAATTAGAACTTTTAATTTTAGAAAATAAAAAAAAACCGAGTAGGTTGTACCCATGATATATAATCACAATATATGCAGCTGTGAAGTCACGACAAAAGCCTTTCTACGTGTTCTGTGAAAAAAAACATTGTTTTTGTCATTATTTAAATAGTTTTTGAACCAGCAAATGTAGAGCGCATGTGAGTACCATTTCATTAATTTACAACAATGTTTGTAAATAAGAACAACACCTTTCAGGTAAATATTTTTGTGGTACTTGGATGCGCACGATATTTTCAACTTACAAATATGTGTTAAAATATGCAAATTCTGCTATCTTTCGACTGTAAAATCTCCATAAATATGCATCTCGTTTGAATGGTTTTACACTAGTAATTTTTGGGGCCCTTTATAGCTTACTGTTCGGTGTGAGCCAATGCTCCGTGTTGAAGGCCGTACCTTGACCTATAATGGTTTACTTTTATAAATTGTTACTTGGATGGAGAGTTGTCTCATTGGCACTCATACCACATCTTCCTGTATCTATATAATATTACAAAGATATTTCAGTTTAAACTTTGCATATAATTAGTGATTACTTTTGACATTATTTCATAAAATCTAACATTAGTTCGGTTGGAACGAGAGTAATATTGTTAACTGCATTGGGAAAGTCGAAAACAAAGATTAAGTTGTTGGTGATATCTTAAATGTTTAATTTAAATCATGTATTATTTGTAACTGAAATATATGTCAATTCAAATCACGTCTAAAACAATGAAAATTCCAGAACTAACAACAGATTTTAAGACTTTCGACATCAAATTTTATTCTATTAATATATTATATAATAACTATATTTTCAAAAATAATTTTTTTTGTTAATTTCGAAAGTTTTTGAAGTAAATTGGATAGAACCAAATTATATTTCCTCTGTTTTGTATAATAAAAGGTAGACTTGAAGCTTCTAAGACTTGACGTTATAACTATGTTTGATACATGTATAGAATGCTCCTTATACTGCAAATGTTCTTAGCTTTATCTTTTAGTTGTATGTGTTACTTGATACGATTATTAAGATTTATGTTTATCGAGTAAACATATTATCAAGCTCTAATTACAATACATATCACAAATACCGGAATCTAAACATGACACAAAATTATTTAAATATATATGTATTATATATGAAAAAAGGATTGTGCGTTTAACAAATTCGGCAGAGGTAAAGGAATTTGAAACGCTTAAATGCCATCTTGTGATGAAGAGTTTTCTTTTTGAAATGTGAATAAAATATTATAATTAAACCTGAGTTTGGTGAATTTTAGAAAAGTTCTAAACTGACCAAGTAACTTAAAGTAGCTAATAAAATAATGTCTGTCTTACGAAGCGCTTCTCTGAAATTATCTTTAATGTATCAATGTTTAAATTGACAAAACGTTTGTTAATTTTAATGAGTGCTAAATAATCTTTCACCAATCAAGTTGTGGTTCACATTGTGGTCACGGTTATGCTTAATTGTATACGCATTTTCAAAAGCTTTCAAAAGTTATGAAAAGTAAATGTTTTTTTAACTAATACATTTTAAACGATTTTTAAAACTAGTACATGTATATAATAATATAATTATTAGATCTACTTCGATCTACCTATCATTTATCTGGCATTGCCGATTTTAAAATAACACCATTGATAAATTGAACCTTTATTTAAATTTCTTTTAGTGGTAACACGAGTAACATACCAGTAATTGTATACCACGTTTTTGTGATCTTCAGAGATTTAAGTTCTTTTGTCAGGTAAAGGTGAAACTAACTATATTTACGTTAAATCTATATATTAATATCTTAAATTTACTTATTTTATCTGCTATATCTGGAATAAAACAAACGAAAGTAATATAACGGTATTACCTACATCAAAATGATATATGTTTAATTTTTTTTTCAAATAGAGAAATGGTCAAAAAGTTTTACAGATTTAATCATTTTGATATAAAGTTTTTATGAAGATCATAACTGTTCAATTATACTCAATTTAATAAGATGTATTGCTACTGCTGTAGTATGTTTGTGTCTTAAGAGTCTTTATGTTAAAAAATAATTACTGTATAAATCAGAACTGTAACCGAATATATTGCTTCCTCCATTTTTACAATACAATTGAGAATGGAAATGGGGAATGTGTCAAAGAGACAACAACCCGAACAAAGAGCAGAAAACAGCCCAAGGCCACAAATGGGTCTTCAGCACAGCGAGAAAATCCCGAGAAAAAGACGACATCTAGTTACCGAAGTTATTTTACTACGTGCACATTCCCAAAGAGTTATTTTGCCCTCGCGCAGTTTGGTGCTGGAAAGTGGAATATTCATTGACGGAAGGGAAAACGTGAAGAAGTGTCTTTGTTTATTTATTAGAGGTTACTATAGTGCAGTATAAATGTATATTTCATATATTTCGATATTCAAATAAAAGTACCTAAAGCAATGACCGACTTTTCTTTATAGTCCACCAAAAGCGACACCGACTATCTGCAGATTGAAAACAATATTTTCGCTCTATTGTATACATGTAAGTGTCTACTCCTATTCCATACAGCCTGAGTTTTATAACCTTACACCGTCTCTTGATTTTATACGTTGATATTGTCCTGGCATTAACTCTACTTGCTCTACTTTTCTTCTTTCATTGCTATTTACTGTACTAAATTTTTGCTGTTCTCGTGATTTTATCATTTTTTGGGTCTTCCTCACTAGTGATCGTTGTGGTGTTTACTATTATTACGATAGCGTTATATTCTACTCATACGATCACACTAAATACATATGTTTTAAATTACAGGTAAGTTGGTATTATATATAATGTTCTGGAGGACCACGCGAGTTCAGCAGCTTATATAAGTGTATGGACTCAGAAGTCAACCATACCAAATGTATTGACTCTAAGCGCTTTCATTGATTTGATTTCATCATGAATGTTCAAAGACCGAAATAGTTATACTATCAACCTTTCGTTTGAATCATCCTGTGAATCTCTTAGTAAAATTTGATATATAAAGCCGTGTGATGTCAAAGTTTAATCTGGCTTTAATAACTTTGACCCAAATTTATCACCGACGCCATTATTCAGACTCGACATTGCCAGGTTTGGGCAAAATTCATCAACTCTTGATCCTGAAAATGGAATAAGCCAATCCGTTTGAGCAGTTTTCATATTTTCTTTATATAGATTCTGTGAAGTCAGATTTTGAACTTTCATCTTTTTACTTGATATTTTACAGATTCAATAGGCAAATATTACATTAATTAGTTAAAAGCAATCGAGTCATTGCTGTATTGTCCACACACAAAAATAATTTCACCCGTTATTAATTTTTTTTTATTTGAAAGGATAATTTGAGCTATTTGAGTGGTCTAACAAATTTATGCTACAATTAAACATTAAATTTCGATCTTTGGAAAAGTCGATTGATAATTATCTTCTGTAAACAGACGACACTTCTCTTAGATTAATAGCAACCAACAATTAATCAATCAATCTTATATTAATACCAATTACTTCTAGAACAGTTTACTGTCTCAACTACTCAATCAATTGTAAACGCTCTGTCCACAAAATATATTTAATTGCACCTCTTATATAAATACTATAATATTTGCTTAAAGAATAAAAATAAAGTATTCTCCTATTTGACTATTTATGGAATATTGGAATGTTGTGAGTATTCGGTGCCTAAGGTGAGCTCATATTATTGTGTTGTGTGTTTTTTCTTTTCTTTAAATTTATCCAACTGATTCAATCAGTAAATTGCATGTTTCTTTTTAAATACATATTTTTTTGTTGATAATTCGTGAATCAATGAGTAAATTACATTTTTCCTTTTTAAATACATATTTTTTGTTGATAATTCGTGAATTAGTTTCTGCCATGTTTCAAAATTTTATAACTTGAAAAAGTCGTTTAAAAAGAGAATTATAGAGGTAATCATACGATCTTCAATAGTAAATCAGTGTCAACGCGTCAGGACAATTTGAAAAAAAGAACCTGCCAATAACAAAACAATTGATAGAGGACCTAACACTTTGTCAAAAGCAACGACAACAACTGACTTAGTTCATCGTTGTGCTAAATCAGCTATGAAATAACTGAACTTTTGTATTTGTTTCTCTGTCGCTGAAATAAGAACGCACAGTTACCCCAGTTTCGCAAAAAAAAAACAAAAAAACACTTATCTTGATAATATCGGTATACATGTAGTTAGTGATTTTAAAAAAGAGAATAGTACCAACAACAAAAATGACAGAGCTACAAGTAAATCAACATTACACTGTATCATACATTAAGTTAATGATAATTCAGATGATTAATAATTTGCTTCTATAAAAGTTTAAAAACAATTTGGCTTTGAGTTTTAGTAGTGGAACTATTTCATACTGTTCGTGGACGTTTCGTACCCGAAGGTATCACCAGCCCAGTAGTCAGCTCGTTTGTGTGCTGACATGAGATACTATTGATATGTTCAGTGCTGTTTATGAAATATTAAATTAATTCTAAACAGTAAAGTTTTTATATACCCGGGCATAGATAGCCTTAGCCGTATTTGACACATTTTTTTGTAAATTCTGATTTTCTACACTATTCAAGTTCGTATTTGATTTCGTCTTCCAACAGATTTCATTCGAGCGCGGCTGATGAGTTTTATGTAGACGAGTTTGGTATGCCAAATAATAAACCTAGTATCTGTAATGAGTTTTTGTAACTTTATATTTCTAAATTTAGTTTAGCTGAACATCTCTTTCAGGTTTTTTTTCAGTATCTAAACAATGGCAAGTACCACTGTAAACACATCAACTACTCCCGGAGCTGAACCAGAAACAGAACCAGAAACAGAACCGGAAGCTTCTGCAGTAGAAATAATTGTTCCACCAGTAGCTCTAGCATTCTGTGGAATTCTGGGTAAGATCAAGTATTAAGCTGACCTAAGATGAATAGGTCATATAGAGGACTTTTGAATTCGTGCACTTTTCCGTAATTTCCTGTGTCACAATGCTTATGTTAATATGAGGCAGGTGTTACCTGTGAAAGGGGAAGAAGTCCGTATAAATATTTTTTTTTAATTCAAGCATATTTTAACTTCGAATCTGTTGAAAAAGAAACGGAAATACGGAAATATTCCCGATGTTAGTTCTGTTGTTAGGGATTTTTGTTGTGACGTCATTTTTATGGTTAACAAAGAAACGCTATCATCAGGAAACGGGTTTTTTTTCATATCAAAGAATTATTTAAATAAAATTGTTATAATTTATATCTTTAAAACGAGGAAGATACCAAGTCGGCTTGTTATTCTTATCAGATACTAAAATCTGATAGATTGATCAGGTGAGTTTACCAAGAGAACACATTTTGTTTGCTATACAATCGTATATTGAATAAGCTCCAGATTCATTTTAAATGTGAGGATTTGTTTTAATTGTTTAACTGGCAGTATTCTTTCGGTAATCAAAAACAATAAATTTGCGAAAAACAATGATGTTCCTTCCTATATTTTACTCAAAGTCTCGTGACAATTGAGACCGGAAGAAAGAAAGAGATTTCTGCGCAAATGCGAGTTTACGATTTTGATAAAGTTTGGCATGATGGACTTATACATAAAATGAAGGCTTATGGTATAAATGGTAATCTATTAAAATGGTTTAAAAGCTATCTGAATGATAGGAAACAAAGAGTGGTTATTAAACAGTCTTCCTCAAAACTTTGCAATATTTCTGCTGCGGTTCCGCAAGGGTCTGTCCTCGGACCAGTGCTTTTTATAATTTACATAAATGACATTGCGGAAACTCTTAATTCTCTCTGCAGACTATTTGCAGATGACACGTCGGTCAGCTATGCAAATCACGATGAATTGCGGATAGAATCTGTTATAAATCACGACCTGGATGAGCTGAAAGAATGGTCTAAAAAATGGTTAATGTCTTTTAATCCTGATAAAACAAAAATTATGTTATTTTCGAATGCTGACATCCCAGAAATGAATTTTACATTAATGGAAAAAACATACCAGTAACTAATATTCATAAACACTATGGGGGTTACATTTAGCAATGATGCTCAATGGAATGTTCATATTGACAATATTATTTTAAGTGTATCTAAACATATAAATATGCTTAGGAAACAGAAATATAGACTAAGTAGAAAAAATTTAGAAAAACTATATCTAGTTTTTATAAGACCTTTATTTGAATATGCCAGTGAAGTTTGGGATAATATGGGATTGGGTAATATTAATAAGCTGGAGACAATTACAGCTTCAAGCTGCTCGTATAGTAACGGGTTTACATATTTTTACAAGCTCTTCGATGTTCTGCTTCCTTCCTAAATTATGATCTGTCTAGAGCTAATATTATTTCTGATGCATCTTGCCGCTGCGGTGTGTATCGCGAAGATTCGCATCATTTCTTTTTTAAATGTATATTATATTCAGAAATACGAAGTAAGCTTTTAGAAAATCTTAGCTGGCACCCAAATAACTGTCCATTAAATATAGAACTATTAACCTCGGGAAGTAGTCGACTTACTCAGGAGCAAAATGAAAATATCTTTCAACATGTGTTTGAGTTTGTTAGAGGGTCGAACAGATTCCTTATTGTTTAGATATTAAAACATGACCACACACATCATCATCATCTAAGTTTAGCTGGTTTTGTTTTGTTTTTTTATTGTTTTTTGCTTTTGTTTTGTTTTTTTGGTTTTTTTTTTTGTTTTGTTTTGTTTTGTTTTGTGTTGTTTGTTTTGTTATGTTTATGTGTTTCTGTTTTTTGGTTTTTTTTCATTAATATATTTCCTTGTTTTTATTGTGTTCTATTATTTTTTTTCTCTTTTTCTCTCTACTTCTTTTGTGCCACTTAATTTTTCTGTCCAATTTATACAAATGTTGATATTATATGTAATGTATGCATGCTCTTATATTGTATTGTTTGATATGTTAAATGGAGAAGACTTCATAAGTCAGTTTGACTTGTGTCTCATCCAATTTGTGTTTATGCAAATAAAATATGTTTAAACTAAAACGATTTTGAGTTCATTAGTATATACTTTAATTTTGGATGTAACACGTCTTCTGATTGGCTGAAAGTGTTTTGTCTATCAGCTCATAGACATAATTTTATCATTGACCGTGACGTCACCAACGTTTTTTTTCAAAATTTACTCCTTTAAAATGGAATTTAGAATTGAATTATAAGGAATGACTGTAATATATTTTCTGTCTATTCGAAATAACCTAAAAAATGTGGTGCACACTTTTAAATAACCCGCTACGCGGGTTATTCAGTGTGCACCACATTTTTGATGTTATTTCTTCATAGACAGAAAAAATATTACAGTCATTCCTTAAATATTATTTTTTTTTCATGAAATTTATTTTCTTACTTAATTGGTATTGCGTCACAATAAGAACCGATTGTTCGATGACGTTGTTTACGCCGATTGACCCGTGTCAACCGGTGTAACTCATTCTTGTACGACTTTGCCCCCAGCAGAGCTATAGAAAAACAGTACATTAACGGGTGTTACACGGACACTTTATAGATGATACACGGACACTTTATAGATGATACACGGACACTTTTTAGTTGTTACACGGACACTTTTTATGAATAGAATCACTCGTGCATGATCAGTGAGTTCATGGGCACTTTAAATTTCGATTAGATTTGAACTTTTTGTTTCACCGACATATTTCCTGTCTTTTTTATTAAAATATTTACGTTGGCATCAAATAACTGTATTTTTATCAAACAATTCCAGTATATTACTATTCATATCAGTACACTACGGAATTGACCATTTAACTTCAAAAGGGGGGTTACGGTTTTTTCCACAAAAAAAATATTCGGATCCCCAATTTTATGAGAAAAAATATAGTGTGGTCAAGCAGATGACAAAATAATGTTCTGATTCCTGATTTTCCGAGTACAGTATATTAAAGTGCTAATTTCGAAAAAAATATTTGGTGATAGCGTTGAACAGGTAAATAATTTTCTTACTCAGAAAAAAAACATACCCCTTTTGAAGCTAAATGGTCGGTCCGTAAATGTATTTTTTCAATATATGGACATGAATAGTATTCTGGACAATGCTGAAAGTAAAGAAATGCTGGTACCGACGTTTATATTTCAATATAAAAGACAGTAAATATATATAAAAAAATCAAATCTAATCAAAAGATAAAATCCCTATCAACTCACCAATGCACGATTGATCCTATAAATAATAAGTGTCCGTGTAATACACGTCCAAATAGGCAGCAAATCTTGAAGAAAATCTTTCAACTTATGTCACCAATTTTGGACGGTAAGCTGCGATTGGATCATAATTGTGACACGTGTTTAATCCTGATCAATACTATTAGAGACCTACAAGCATGAAAATTTAAAAAAAACCCAAAATATATGCCTATATATATCTAATAACAAGCCAAAATCTATTTTTTCATAACATTTCATTCACTAATGAAATAAGAACTTCGTTCTTTTTATACATTTATACTGTTATTGAAATCATATATATTGAATTCATATATTTGGGAGCAAACGGACGATTTTTATTATTTTTTTAAGGGGGAATGGGGAATGGAATGGCACATCCTGCATTTTTTCAACAAAAAAGGATCAAGCCTGTTATTTTAAATGTTTAACCCCCCCCCCCCCCTTTCCGTTTTCCCCCAAATAAAAATCAAATGTTAGCTTGCTTACCTGTTAAATCTTTTTCCTACATTACTTACTTGCGAAGTTGCATTTAAAAAAGTCTCAAATGTGTACGACATTCATCTTTTACTTGATATGGTTCTTTTTTATAAAATTATTAGATTTTTGAATTTCTTGAGAAAAAAAACTCTCGGCTGAAGGTAAGTGAAAAAAAAAGTTTGTTTAAACTGTAACTTACATTAACTTGTATATGGTCATTTAAGTTTCTAATCTGTTTAATTTTGCTACCTCTTCTAAATGAAAAATGTACTACTTCTTTCTTGAAACGTCGTACAAGTCAGATACAAAACAAAGGTAACAAAAAACAGTTCGGAAACAAACTGCCGTATAGTTTTTCTGCACTTGTAGTCAGGTCAAGGTCCTCGGCTATCGCCTCGGACCTTGACCTGACTACTCGTGCAGAAAAACTATCCGGCAACGCTTGTTACCGGCCTGTTTCTTTGTTACCTTTGTATTGTATCTAATACATAAAAAAACTCGAGATTGGTGTATAGCTCATAACGTTTCTACGTGTTTATTCATTCCTGGCTTTTAAATGTTTTGGGTTGAGCGTTTCTGATGAAGGTAAATTTAGAAAAGCACTTCGGACGCACGAAATTCATAGTGTTATTTGCATTTAGCATAATATATGTTCTCTATTTAAAACACGACTATTTATTTTTTCGAAGCATTCATATTTTCCTTATTACTTAATTAGGTATGGGATGTTTTCGGCATTCCTTATAAATAATATCGCTATCAATATTTGTTCAAAGTACAACGTTTTCCCTGTAGATCTATCCTGTCGTTATTTTCTGTCTTGGCTTTACCTACGTCTTTTCTTCTGTATTTTACGAGACAAACAGACATTCTACAATCTATATTTAGAATACGTAACTTTTATTTTTAATTTTAAATTAAAAATTGAAAAATGACCATTAATGACTGTACATGTAATTGTTATTAAATCGTCATATTTAAGTACACATTTGGTCATGAAAGGGTTTATTTATTTACAACAAATTTATCGAATTATAAATAAAAAACAGCTGAAAAAAACATTGAATGCAAGTTCTACAAACCACTGTTGCCTATATACAAATGTTAAAAATACTGTTGATGATAATAATCCTTTCATGATTTATGTTTATTATTTTGTTTTCAGTTTTGATGACGTTATACATACTTACTAAAAAGATCAAATGTTGCAGACGTGACAAACGCATACACTGCAATGAAAAACTTCAGGAGGTGGATAACTCATTCTTGTTCCTCGAGGACTTCGAACCCGAAAGGAACGATTTACCAAAGGTCCCTTTCTTTACGGAATATGAAGTTCACGCTTTGGGGCAAATATCTCATTTCCAAAACAGCGTAAGAAAACTTGCATTTATTTCACTCCCGCCATTCTTAGGTTTAATTTTTTGTCCTATGACATTGTTTATATATTCACCGATGGCAAACTACTTTTGGCCAAGTGATTCATCCACTCCAAATATAAACGATGCTCTTGGGTGTTTTCTGGTTCCTGCTGGTATGGTTTATGCTATAACCTTTGGATATGCAATTGAAGAAGTTCAACAGAAGCATTTTGCATTACGAGATAGATTGTCGGAAGAAGTTGTTCTGTCAAGAGAAATCATATGTTTGATCAATCAAATTGAAGCTATACCGTCGAAAGTCCGCCAAACGCTTTGTCGTATATTGAAGACTAATATTATGAATAGGATATTGCAAGTTCAGAACAATTTTGACGGCGTCGAAAATGGTAATTATTTAAGATAGGTTTATAGTGTGCATGATGACTAATTTTTGTATGATAACCATGAAATGAGAAGTGTAATGCAGCTTTTATATCAAGCATTTTTCAATTAATTCTATAAAAGACTGGTACAGTCTGTTGTACTGTCTAACATTTTTGGTAATTCATAGTATCATTTCCATGTGTTATTTAAGCTTGCAGTATTATGTAAATGATTATACACGGTATTTGAAAATTGATTATCTTAATAAAGACCATTATAATAAGCTTTTTTACTTGATCGTTCTCACGAAACAATGGTCGAATTTGTTTTGTCCATGTGTGAATAACAGATGTTCTATATAAGGAAACGAGCGTTTGATTTTCGGGGGGAGGCGTCAGTAGAATTCTGGCAATAAATATTCTTGCCTGGTAAGAACTAAAACATTATCGTATCCAAGGCAGGATGACAATGAATACTCTGTCCCACAAAATACATAATTGTATGCAAAAGTGAAAATGAAACATCTAAAGCCGGCTTAGCAACAAGTGAGATTGAATTTTCCGTACACAAAAATACCATTCTGCACATCCCCATCTCCGGAAAATAAAATTGTGGTCCTCTTAAATTGAATTGGATACACCACCTGTTTAAAAGAGAGGCGAAAGATACCAAAGGGACATTCCAACTCACAAGTCGAAAATAAACTGACAACGCCATGGCTAAAAAGAAAAAGACTAACAGTACATAAAACACAACATAGAAAACCAAAGGCTGAACAACACGAACCCCACCAAAAACTGGGGGTGATCTCAGGTGCTCCGGAAGAGTAAGCTGATCCTGCTCCAAATATGGCACCCGTCGTGTTGCTCATGTAAGTATAAACCGTTTAACTCGTTCAATCCATAATTTGCGCATTCGATTTAACGTCCTAATTCAGACCAGATTTGGGTGCGTAGCTATACATTCCGCACAAACGGATGCCTCTTTTAGCATGGGTTACACTGCCGGGTGAGAAACGAAAGTAGTTAGACAAATAACTTTTTTAAAATGATACCATATAGATACTTTTCTTCGATTGAACAGAGCTAGTTTAAGATGAAGTTTATGGGATACTATAAAAGTCATCAGGAACATCCGTAAAATATTGCTGAAAACAAAACTGATCACGTTATCTTTAATTTCAGTGAATGTATGGGAAATATCAGATATTCTCAATTACAGCAGCATGAAACAGACTGCAACTACAAAAGCACTTTTACGGGTGGTATATGAAAATGTACATCGACTGTTCTCTTTGATTCCAGACAACGGACCACTGTACGAACACATTAACCCGTTGCAGTTAGTATTTATCTTTTTCTATTATATATGATACTTATACTGTCACAGGTTAAAAGGGGGTATGAGCGCATGTGTAATACAAGCGAATAGTTAAGATTGGGAATCGGGGGGTATGAGCGCATTGGTAATAAAAATGCTTAGTTAAGATCGGGGATCATTTAGTTGTAAATATTACATTGTTAGCCATTCTTATGTGAATTAAACAGAGACTAAAATCGATTAAGAATGTTTGCTCCTCTTGTTTGTCAGATATTTGTATCCTCTGGTTTTATCCATGTAGTGCCATTAAAAAAAATTGCTCTACTTTTCTTTTCATAATTTTATTATATATATAGTTTGAAAAGCTATATTTGAAAATCTTATAAAATCCTTGTTACTTTTTCATAGTTTTTGAAAGGAAAATGGTGTCAATGCTAAATGTATGATAATTCTAGAGAGAATCATTTCCCGCCAAATTATCAATGGCTTATATATCGGAAACAAGGACACGGACCCTTCATTTTTTCCTGCTATTTCAGTTCCACTATTGGAATACTAGCAATGTATAATAATTATTACAGTCTTCTAAAAAGCTTGTTATTTTGAAAGAGTAGCGAACTTCCTTAACAACAAAATTTGCTTATTAGTATCAAACGTTACCGGTTTTTCCTTGGTTTGTTTAAAAGTGATTAACAGAAACATAATTGATCGTGGTAAATCTCTTTTTCGGTTAATTGAGAGCTGAGAAGACAATTAAAAGGGATAAACATACGTTTGTGTTTACTGTAAGTGAATGAAACCTCTGTGATGTATGAAATCCGTTATGTAGTACAGTTACTTTTATTAGATACTAAATGAACCCACTTACTATTGTATTTTAAAAATCTCAGTAATGATCACATATGAATGCGTATTTATAAAATGTAAATTCGTCTTACAGATGGATATTATTAGAAACTTTGGGCGGCTTTACATTTCTCGGCATGTTGATGGTCAAGGCACAGTCGTACAGAATGGAATTAACAATATGTTTGATCAGTGTGATATCGATCACACTATTGGTATTTACAGTCAGTGATCTTGACAGCCCCTTCGATGGATTTTTTAGAATCGATCTTTCTCCAATGGAAGCTTTGGTGTGTGACCTTTACAAGGAGTATCGGAGCATACTACCAAGTAAATCCGCCCCAAACGATCAAATGAAATTAAAGTCGTCTTTTGCACCGTTTGGGCAAATGGACAAGAGTTAAAATACAATCAAAACAAATTTTCAGCCATCATTATTGGTTTGTTTATTACTATTCGTGTATATATTGTTTGCTTCTTTTTTGTTTGTTTATTTTCTTGTTTTTGTTATGTTTTTGTATATATATTTTATTTTCAGTCTGAAGTTGTATTTTTATTGAAAATAATAAAAATCTTTCAATTGATTGTTTTACACACCTTTTAGTTCACTTAAGTCCAATAAATCCAACTTGGTTTCCGAAAGGAATACCATCTCTTCTATAAGAGAAGAATAATTCTGGATTACACGATGTACACAATGTTGCACTTGTATCATCTATATGAGATGGTGCAATACCATGCGATTCGAGTAGTGTCCGGTTCACTAGATGCAAGTCTATAAACGGCTTGACTTTACCTTCCTTTCGTTTGATGCTGTTTTCGTTTATGCTTTTAAACAAAGCAGCATCCTCTTCCGCAAATTCCAAACAACATGAACCAATGCTAGGTCCAAGTGCTACTCGTATGTTCGCCAATTTCGAGCCATATTCATCCTGCATTTTCTTTACTGTTTCGACGCAAGCTTTTGCCAGTGTCCCTTTCCAACCAGAATGACATGCTCCAAAAGCAGGAGTTTCGTGGTCAGCAAATATCATAGTTACACAGTCGGCTCCTGGTGCAGCAACTGTAATATCTTTCTGATTAGATATAATACAGTCATACCCGTCTTTAGGCTCTTCTTTACCTACAACATACACGGTATTACCATGGACTGCACGAGCGCGAAGAAAGTTTTTAGGGTTGAATCCTGCTTTTGTACCAAGGCGGTGTATATTTTCTCTACCGATCATTTCCGAATCACGTTTAATGCTCGCTGCTGTCATATTTAAAGATGAAACTCCTATTGCCGTTGACATTCCACCTTTCCTTGTAGAGAAACCGTGAATAAATTTGTCATTTATGATGTTTGACTTCAAAATTTCTACTTCATCTTTTGTTTCATACGAGGATAAAAACTTCTGAATTTCGGAACAATAGCTTTCGTCGTATGTAGATGCACAGTCGTCTCCTGTATTTATTTCCAATTTGTATGATGTTGTAAGTATCTCCTTACAAATAGTAAACCACAAATTGCCTTTTGCTTTGGAACACAGTATTGTTATATCTGAAGACATATTTGAATCAATCCGTTTTTTAACTTGGTAGAATGCTCCTAATCTAGATGAGTCTTGAACAACAGTTGATATGGAATTTTGTTCTGTATTGTTGTCTTTGGAATTTTTTATTAGTAATACGTCATCAGTACTGTCAGTTATTTCATCAATATTATCGATTTTGTATCCATCAAAACCATCAACCAAAACAGTTTTCTTGTCCATGATGAGATACGACTGTCTGTAAAAAGTAATACATGTATAACAAGGATGCCTTACATGAACACAGCAATTGCTTTTCTAGCCTAGAACAGTAATGAGTATTATGACAGCTATAGGAAGCTAATATGGATAAAAGATCTGAGTTATACGTCAATGAGACTGCAACCCAACAACAAAACATTGAGAAGGAAACATACGAAAGATACCAAAGAGACATCCAAACTCATAAGTAGAAAAAAAACTGACAACAGTGTCACAAAACACAACATGAAAACTAAAGACTGAGCAACACGAACCCCAACAAAAACTGGGAGTGATCTCAGTGCTCCGGAAGGGTAAGCAGATTCTGTGCCACATGTGGCACCTGTCTTGTTACTTATGTATGTACAAACCCGGTGATAAGTCTAATTCGGTAGGTCACATTCGGGGAATAGGGGGCGGGATTTTGGTTACAGTTGGAACATATCCGTTGCCATCTGTGAAACAGATATTCCATAACGGTCAATGCTTTGTGAAGTAACAAGTAAGAACAATTTCCCTTGTACTCGTTTCACTCACCGAGTCAAAATCCTACTGGAAATTAAATTTAAGATTGTCTATAAAATACACTTAAAATAGTGTTTCACAACTTTACATATTTCAAAAAAATAAAAAACATATTCAGCGTTACATGTTGTAGTTGAAAGTATTTTCATAAAAAAAAACTGCAAATTTTACGTGTTTTTGTCAAATTTTGCTTCAAAGGATATCGTTAACCAAAATGAATTAATTTGTATCCAAAAGACAATAAACAGATTTACTTCCAACATAGTTTTGATTTTGGTTAAAGATGTTCTTCTTGTACATGTTTGAGATAAATAATCAATATTGCAGATTTGAACATTCTTCGGACATTTATTATTTGATTACCTGTTTAGATATAGGCCAAAATATTGTTAGATCTTAAAAGTACTCATTATGATTTTAAGTTGAGATTGACTCTGCTCCAAACTTAACAGAAACTATCACGGATCTACCATTTACCCCTAATTTTCCACAAGATAACGAAAAACATTGTGCAGGATATGACATACGATGATTAATGACGAGTTTCATGACTCGGGATAGGCTCTGCAGATTTTGGTAAAGTTAAATTAGTTTGTTCTTTTTAAGATTCAATTCTACTCCGGTTTTTTTTTGTCGCAAAAGAGTAAAAAATCATACAAAACTTAACTCACGTTGAAAACCAGTACATGAAAGCACTTCACTCTCAAGTGAGGTGTTTGTTTGTGCTTTTCCTTTTTATTTGTGTCCATCCTTCCATACTTTTGTAGTTTCAAATCAAATATTTTGACTAGACTAGTGCTTTGTTTACCATAAGAAGTTCTTTTCTATACATCTAACAACAAGTACGGCAATAATCATATTCTGGATGCAACTAAACTGATTTAAATAAAAAGTAATAGGAGACGGACAAAGTAAGTATGCTGGACCTTCAAGATGATAATGTACTTGTAGTACTTCGGTTGATAGTATTATGGTTTTAAAACGACCTTAGGTGTCATTTGTCGTGTTCATTTTTTGTATTCATATTAAAAAGATGTTTGAAGGAGAAAAAAAAAGAGTACATCCAATGTTGGAGAGAGAGAGAAAATGACCCAATGCTTTTAGTCTCAGTTTCCGTTACATAGAATATGCTCGATCTCTAAATAACCACCAGTTAAAAAAGAAAGAATATATAATCTATTCCAGATGCATGTACCACAAAGACAGCAAAGTGAACATATTCCCGTCAATGAATATGGAAAATACGGTTAAATACAAAGGTATACGACAAATGACAAAATGATTTTACAATAGTTACTTTTCCTATCTTGAATCTTTTGGTTTTTTTGACAGAACAACATGCTTTTTTAAAGATTATATTCGAATCATCGTAACAGTTTTAAGGTCGAAGTCATGACTTGCATGGAAATTACCCCAGCCTTGTTTAATTCATATTGTTTTTTTTTCTCGTTTTTCCTTATGATACATTCGTTTTGCGTCTCATCGTCTCTACACACGCTTTTGTTCACAATTTTGTAACAAGATTTTACTGCACTCTTATGCATGTTTTTTTTTCACGTAGTTTTTCCTAGACCACGGAACAAACGTTTGAAATAATTGAACTTGAAGGGGAATTATTGTGGCAAAATTTCTTTACATGCAAAGAAAGACAGCAATCCAACTCAAGGACTGTATTTTCAAAACCATTTTTTAAGTTTTTTGAAGCGGAAATTAATGCATAAAGAAGCGTTTACAACTAACTCTCAGTTCTATGTGTGCTGTGCTACTTTGTCAGCTGCTGCAAAACCAGATTGTGAGAGAATCCAACACTGCCTACGTTGTCTAGTAAGCTATCAGTCTATTTCCCGATGTACTTACTTTTCAGGATACTTTTTAGAAGTGTAATATCCTGATGTAACATGTTCGATTTACCACTGAACGTCAACAACAATCGATTTAGATTTATCATCCATCAGTTTCCTTTTTAGCGAGCTTTTAAGCTTTTGAGCTTGACATACTGACATACATATACACGATACAATTACATGTATATAAAATAAATTATACGATGAATGTGCATAGAAATTGTAAACGAGTGAACGACAGAAAAAAAAATAACGTTTACTTAGTTAAAAGAAAACATCTTACCTGTTCAGCCGTCAGAATTAAAATGTAAACAAATAGAACGAGCAATGCGGAAGTAAAATCAGTACTATGAAGTGTTGCGATAAGCCGTATTTAAAAAAAGTAATAAATAAAATATTTGACATATTTTGTGTTACCGGAAGTATCGAAAGACTGATAAAATTTAATAATAATACCCTTTTAATTTAAAAAAAAACAAAACTGTATTGATCTTTTCCCCCTTTCTGATCCTGACAAAGAAGAGGATTGTGGCACATATATTTTATTTAAACCGTTTTGTTGAATATAAAAGTAGTGATCGAAATGACTTATTTAGAGATTTGTGATCAGTTTCACAAAAACAAAATCTTACGACTAAAGTTGATCGCAAGTATAGAGAATTGTTCATGACTAACGATCAACTTTAGTCGCAAGATTTTCTGTGAAACTGATCACAATGGAAAAGTTCTTTCATCTTGCTTTTAAGTAGGTAGGAAAGAACTGTTAATATCTATATCTATCTGAATAACTTAAAAAGGTCAGCGACCCATCGCTCAAGTATACTATATTGACATCGTCCCAAAATGGCTGTATCATTGTAAATTTCATTGGTGCATATTGACAGTGTGTTTAAAGCCGATCTGTAAATGAAATGATACTGATGTTGGCTAGGTTTTAAGTAGGAGTTTAGTGAACTAGTGTCAAGCTATCCAGCAATTCTCATCCTGCAATTCTCTTTATAAAAAGCTATCCTGCAATTCGTCATCCTGCAATTGCGTTTGGAAAACTACTTGAGCGACAATTTTATTTTTCTTTGAAATCATAGTTTTTGACTTTTTTGTTCGAAAACAAGATAAATATAGAAAATAAAAGATTTGTCTTTCCGATTAACAAAATTTTAACTTTAGTTTTGCAGATTTCTAACTCATATTTACGGTTTTGTAATAAGCATTTACAATAAAAAAAAAATCATTATGACGATTCAAATAAAGTATTATACAGGATGTGATTCGTATTTACGCATGTTTAATCAACATTTGCAATTTTTTCAAAACTCATATTAACGACTAAAAATAAAGAATTTTGAAGTAAAATAATTTTTTCATGGCTTAACGACTTAAAAACTTCCATTTGAAACTGGGCCACCCACCTTCTAACCTATTGCATCGGCAGTTCTGTATGGCTAGGGATTATAGACTCTGCTCTAATAAATAGTTATTGGATAGTACTACAAAGAGAGGGCAAAGAATTTCTGGGGTAAGCATTCCTAGAGGCCGAAAATTGCGTCCGAAACATGGAAATAAAGCCAAATTCGATAAAATACGCATTGGGGTACCCACTTTCCGACCCATTGTCTCGGTAGTGTCTTTATGGATAGGGATTATAGACGCTGCCCTAATGAAAAGCTATTGGATAGTACTAAAACGGGAGGGAAAAGAATTTCTGGGGTAAGCATTCTTAAAGGCCGAAAACTTCGTCTGTAACACGGGGAAAAAAAAGTTAAATTTGATAAAATACGCATTGAGGTCACACACTTTCCCATCCATTGCCTCGGCAGTTCTGTATGGCTAGGGATTATAGACTCTGCTCTAATGAATAGCTATTGGATAGTACTACAAAGAGAGGGCAAAGAATTTCTGGGGTAAGCATTCCTAGAGGCCAAAAATTGCGTCTGAAACATGGAAATAAAGCCAAATTTGATAAAATACGCATTGGGGTCACCCACTTTCCCACTCATTGCCTCGGCAGTTCTTTATGGCTTGGGATTATAGACTCTGCTCTAATAAATAGTTATTGGATAGTACTACAAAGAGAGGGCAAAGAATTTCTGGGGTAAGCATTCCTAGAGGCCGAAAATTGCGTCCGAAACATGGAAATAAAGCCAAATTCGATAAAATACGCATTGGGGTACCCACTTTCCGACCCATTGTCACGGTAGTGTCTTTATGGATAGGGATTATAGACGCTGCCCTAATGAAAAGCTATTGGATAGTACTAAAACGGGAGGGTAAAGAATTTCTGGGGTAAGCATTCTCAAAGGCTTAAAACTTCGTCTGTAACACGGGGAAAAAAAGTTAAATTTGATAAAATACGCATTTAGGTCACCCCCTTTCCCACCCATTGCCTCGGCAGTTCTGTATGGCTAGGGATTATAGACGCTGTCCTAATGAATAGCTATTGGATAGTACTACAACGAGAGGGCAAATAATTTCTTGGGTAAGCATCCTGAAATTTCGAAAATTTCGTCCGAAACATGGAAATAAGGCCAAATTCGATAAAATACGCGTTTGGGACACCCCTTTCCGACCCATTGTCTCGGTAGTTTTTTATGGCTAGGGATTATAGCTTCTCAAAGGACGAAAATTTCGTCTTAAACATAGAAATAAAGCCAAATTCGATAAAACAAGCATAAGGGCCAGCCATTGTCAATTGCAACGGAAATAAGATTAATCTATGATTTCTTTGATTGCCATACATTGATTACAAAAAAATAAACCCACTATCTTATTAAATTCAAGCGCAAGCCACTTACACAAAACATGCGTTATACACTCGTTTAGATTTGTTTTACGAGACATTTGCTATAATACAGATAATATCAGTTGCTCATTTAACTTATACATATTTTTAGGAACTACTTTACAAGACCGATCGTACATCCCATATCTGTACGTTAATGTCTTTTGTGTGGTAGATCTTCATCAAGCACATACTATATTTCAAAGATTCGAATGTTCGCATCTTAGGAATGTTTACGCCAAAAAATCTCTAATATCTGAATGTAGTATTATCTAATAACTTTTTAGTGATAAATTTTGGCAGTCATACTCTCGGCATTCTGTTAAGTAGTTCCTAAAAAATAGCAATACATTGTATGTCTAAGCTAAATGAGCAACTGATATTATCTGTATTAAAGCAAATGTCTCGTAAACAAAACTGAAAGAGTGTATTAAGCATGTTTTGTGTAAGTGGCTTGCGCTTGATATAAATAAGATTGTAGGCTTATTTTTTGTAATCAATGTATGGCATACAAGAAAATCATCAATTAATTTTACATCCGTTCAGTTGACCCCAATGCGTATTTTATCGAATTTGGCTTTATTTCTATGTTTCGAGCGAAATGTTCGGCCTTTAAGAATCCTCACCCCAAACATTCTTTACCCTCCCGCTGTAGTACTATCCAATAGCTATTAATTAAGGCAGCGTCTATAATCCCTAGCCATAAAGAACAACCGAGACAATGGGTCGGAAAGTGGGTGTCCCCAAAGCTTATTTTGTCGAATTTGGCTTTATTTCTATGTTTCGAGCGAAATTTTCGGCCTTTCAGAATGCTTACCCCAGAAATTCTTTATCCTCACGTTGTAGTACTATCCAATAGCTATTCATTAGGGCAGCGTCTTTAATCCCTAGCCATAAAGAACAACCGAGCAAATGGGTCGGAAAGTGGGTGTCCCCAACGCGTATTTTATCGAATTTGGCTTTATTTCTATGTTTCGAGCGAAATTTTCGGCCTTTAAGAATGCTTACCCCAGAAATTCTTTACCCTCCCGCTGTAGTACTATCTAATAGCTATTTATTAGAGCAGAGTCCATAATCCCTAGCCATACAGAACTGCCGAGGCAATAGGTTGGAAAGTGCCAAATGCGTATTTTATCAAATTTGACTTTTTTCCGTGTTACTGACGAAGTTTTCGGCCTTTCAGAATGCTTACCCCAGAAATTCTTTATCCTCGGAAAGTGGGTGTCATCAACGCGTATTTTATTCAGTCAAAAATACCTCCTTATTTTAAAGATAAGTCTGTACCAATAATTTCTTATACCTATACCAAACCAATTGCAACTAAAATTTTCAATTACAAACACGTTTTGCAGGATCTTAACATTGACGACTTCAAGTCTAAACCTCCTGATTGCACCTGTGCTAGTTCCAAATTCACATATATTCCGGCTGGCCACGTTATTACCAGAGACCTCAACATTGTCAATAACACTTCCCTGCGAAATTTGTTATCCAAAGGTCCGAAATATCGTGAGCTTAAATGCATCAATTGGAAATACAACTTCAAAATACTGATGGATTCAGTCGAGGATTATGCCAGGCAATGGGCTAAACGCGAGAAAGAAGACGTAGATACTATTTCCGAATGGCTTAAGGCTGTGAGGTCGTTGATACAAATCCGAATTAAGAAACTGAATGGGTCTATCAATACCTACGCTACGTCAATTTTTAAAGACCCAAATGTTGCAAAACACTTGTCCTACCTCCATGACAAATATGTTGTTGTCCCCGCAGATAAAGCCACAAACAACATCGTTTTTGTGTGTAAATATCATTACATAAACTGCTTGATAAATGAATTAGGTATTGACAATTCATTTGGAAACTCAACATATACCCTCACGACACTTACCAAAGAGGAAATCCTGGATAATCATAGGTCTGTTCTATGTTCCTTTGGAATTTCAACCAAAGATGAAGAACTGGATCTTCCATTACTGTATTGGATACCTAAACTACATAAGTGTCCTTACAAACAACGGTATATTGCTGGGTCTTCCAAGTGCTCCAAGAAACCTCTTTCTAAATTATTAACATCTATTTTATCAGCAATCAAAGCCGGGCTCCAAAGTTATTGTGAAACTGCCTATTCTAGAGGTCGCGTGAATCAGATGTGGATACTAAAAAATTCCAAAGATCTTTTAGAGTACATACAATCTAAGACTCTCTCATCTTGCAATAGTATTAAAACATTTGACTTTTCCACACTTTACACAGGTATTCCCCATTCAAAACTAAAAGACAAATTGAAAGAGTTGGTATTACTTAGTTTCATTAAAAAGAATGGCGAACGTAGATACAAGTATCTTATCTTGGGGAGGGATCCTACTTTGTAAAGAATCACTCTGATTCAAACAAAAAATTCACTTAAATTGACATTATCAAGATGCTTGATTTCTTGATTGACAACATATTTGTTACGTTTGGAGGACGTGTTTTTCAACAGACTGTCGGAATTCCAATGGGAACCAATTGTGCCCCTCTTCTTGCCGACTTGTTTCTTTATTATTATTCATACAGGAACTTCTTAGGAAGAAAGATAAGAAGTTAGCAATATCCTTTAACTTTACGTTCCGCTATATAGATGATGTTCTC